AACCTGGTCTGCCTGAATTTGGTGCTAATTTTGCAGAAGATTATAGAGTGAGGTGTCTATATATGAGGCTGAGTCATCCTGACTATAAAATGGAGCTCCTGGAGAACGATATTTTATTCTATTCTATTCTATTCTATTCTATTCTATTCTATTCTATTCTATTCTATGTTTTGAGATGGAGTCTTGCTCTGTAGCCCAGGCTGGAGTGCAGTGGCATGATCTCAGATCACTGCAAACTCCGCCTCCCGGGTTCACGCCATTCTCCCGCCTCAGCCTCCTGAGTAGCTGGGACTACAGGCATCCACCACCACACCCGGGTAATTGTTTTTGTATTTTTCATAGAAATGGGGTTTCACCATGTTAGCCAGGATGGTCTCGATCTCCTGACCTTGTGATCCGCCTGCCTCGGCCTCCCAAAGTGCTGGGATTACAGGCGGGAGCCACCATGCCCGGATTTTTTATATATTTTTTTTTATTTTTGAGATGGATGTTCGCTCTTGTCACCCAGGTTAGAGTGCAATGGCGCCATCTCAGCTCACTGCAACCTCCATCTCCTGGGATTAAGCAATTCTCCTGCCTCAGCCTCCCAAGTAGCTGGGATTACAGGCATGCACCACCACGCCCAGCTAATGGGATTAAGCAATTCTCCTGCCTCAGCCTCCCAAGTAGCTGGGATTACAGGCATGCACCACCACGCCCAGCTAATATTTTTGTATTTTTAGTAGAGATGGGGTTTCACCATGTCAGTCAGGCTGGTCTCAAACTCCTGACTTCAAGTGATCCACCCGCCTCAGCCTCCAAAACTGCTGGGATTCCAGGTGTGACCCACCGTGCCTGGCTTTCCTAACTAATTCTATGTGGACAACATCACCCTCATACCAAAACCAGACAAAGAAAAGAAAATGCCAGACCAGTATCTCTCATAAACATAGATGCGAAATCTTCAATAAAACATTAGCAAATTTAGTCCAACAATGAAGAAAAAGAATCATACACTTTTACTATATTAGTCTGTGCCACACTGCTGATAAAGACATATCCGAGACTGGGAAGGAAAAGAGGTTTAATTGGACTTAAGGTGCTCCATATGGCTGGGGAGGCCTCAGAATCATGGCGGGAGGCAAAAGGCACTGCTTACATGGCAGCAGCAAGAGAAACTGAGGAAGATGCAAAAGCAGAAACCCCTGATAAAGCCATCAGATCTCATGAGAGTTATTCACTACCACGAGAACAGTATGGGGGAACCACCATGATTCAAATTATCTCCCACTGGGTCCCCTCCCACAACACGTGGAAATTATGGGAGTACAATTCAAGAAGAGATTTGTAAGTGGACGCACACAGAGCCAAACCGTATCAATCACCAAGTGGGATTTACCCCAGGTGTGGAAGGCTAGTTCAACATTCAAAAATCAATTAAGGTAACCCATCACCGCCGGGCGCGGTGGCTCAAGCCTGTAATCCCAGCACTTTGGGAGGCCGAGACGGCGGATCACGAGGTCAGGAGATCGAGACCATCCTGGCTAACACGGTGAAACCTCGTCTCTACTAAAAAAATACAAAAAAACTAGCCGGGCGAGGTGGCGGGCGCCTGTAGTCCCAGCTACTCGGGAGGCTGAGGCAGGAGAATGGCTCTAAACCCGGGAGGTGAAGCTTGCAGTGAGCTGAGATCTGGCCACTGCACTCCAGCCTGGGAGACAGAGCGAGACTCCGTCTCAAAAAAAAAAAAAAAAAAAAAAAAAAGGTAACTCCATCAACAAGCTTAAATCCCCATAATCATAATCAGATGCAGAAAAAGTGTTTCACAAAATCCAAAACCCACTTGTGATTAATGACTTTAAAACACAATATAAATAATCATAATTGATCCCACATAAAGTAGAAAAGTTGAATAGTCCAATTATCATAAAGAGTAGACTACATTGTTTAAAACACACCATATAATACTATGTAATCATTTCATAACCGAGTTCTGCATCCTTCAAAGAGCAGATCATTCTAAAGTTACTTAAATTATTTCAGACCATAGGCAAATACGAAATAAAAATAAATTTAAGAAATCTAGTATAATTCTTAAGTCTCAATAGCTGATTAATATAGTACAAAAACCTCCTACATACCAATATCACTCATTCTAAATAAACATTCTAAATAGATAATGAAACCTAGTAGTGTGTCAAAATAATAATACACTTTGACCAAATAGAGTTATTTGGAAAGATCCTGGCTAGTATAATATTAATATCTTGTAGGCACTACATCAAATTTTTTTATTAATTTTGCAATAGACTAATATCTTTTAGAATACTAAAAATTTCCCATCCTGGAACAGGAAATATCCATTTACTTAAGTCTTTAATATTTTTCAATGATAGTTCATATTTTCCCATAAGCTTCATACATCTTTTGTTCATGTACTCATAGGTACTTCATTTGGCCCCTTTGGGTGGGTTCCCTTTTTTCTATTTTATTACTGGTATATACAAAAAATGTAAGTTATGACTTTAATCTATTTAGCCACCTTGCTGCACCGTCTAGTAGGTTGTCCTTACATTCTATTTTCTAGAAAGAAAATTACATTTTCTGAAAATACTATTTTCATTTCTTCCTTTCCTAATGTTTTTGCCTTTTGCTTGTTTTACTGTATTGGCTAGAAAATCCAGCACCATGTTGAACATTAGCAGTAAAAGTGAGTATTCTCATTTTCTCTAACAGTAATGGGAATGCTTCTGTTGTATTATTTAGTATGATGGTTACCATAGATTTCTGATAAGTGTCCTTTATCAAGTTGCTATTCATTCCCCATTTGCTTAAAGATTTTTCTCTTAAGTCAAAGTAAGCATTAACTTTTCAAAAATAATGTTATTGAGATAATCATGTGGCTTTAAACCTCTGAACTATTAATACAATGATTTGTAGTAACAGGTTTCCTAATGTTAAATCATTTCTGAGATACACCTTTCTCTTGTTCGATAGAACTTTATTTTAGAGCTGTATCTACGTTAAGTTTGGCATACGTAGTTTTCTTCTCGTGCTTTTATCAGTCTTGTTATTAATGGGATACTAATGCCATAAAATGAGTTGAAGAACTTTCTCCCACTCAACCTCGCCATGCTAGTAATACAATTTCCAGGACAAGGAAAAAAAAAAAAAAAAAGGATGTGGTGAATATTATGTAGCCCCATGGCATTCCAGGCACAGGAGACAGATGTGGCAGACACTACGATGAAAAAACAGCACGCTATGCTCAGATAATAGGATGTAAGACTTCTTAAACTGAGTAAGAAATGCAAAGCAGGCTTGGCCCAAACTGGTAAATTAATCTTCAAAGCACAACTAAGTTGCTGAAACACGTTGATTTGCTCCTAATTTTATATAAAGAAAAGGCTCCAAACTCTTCAGCATGCAATGAAGGTCTTTCCCGCTTTAACCTAATTTATTTTACAGTTCAACCCATGCTTCCTTGTCTGTAATGTTTCTTTTGCCCAGAATGTTGTCTCTGACAGTCTATGATGGCACAGTCAAATCTTACCCACCGTGTATTATTTATTTATTTATTTATTTATTTATTTAGAGACGAAGTCTCGCTCTGTTGTTCAGGCTGGAGTGCAATGGCGTGATCTCGGCTCACTGCAACCTCCCAGGTTCAAGTGATTCTCCTGCCTCAGCCTCCCAAGTAGCTGGGACTACAGGCACCTGTTGCCATGCCCGGCTAATTTTTGTATTTTTAGTAGAGGCGGGGTCTCACCATGTTGGCCAGGCTGGTCTCAAACTCCTGACCTCAACTGATCCGCCCACCTCGGTGTCCCAAAGTGCTGGGACTACAGGCGTGAGCCACCACGCCCGGCCCCTACCCATCTTTTAAAGGGATATCCCGAATGTCTATCAACACTCAGATAAAACTGAACTAAGTTTGAATCCACTTGTACTATATTTGTTTGTCAACTCTTCGTTTGTTTACTTCTTAAGAACTTTGATAGCTGTACTGGGTTGGTTAGTGTCGCCCCCAAAATTCATGTCCTTCCTGGAACCTCGAAATGTGATCTTATTTGGAAAGGGTGTCATTGCAGATGTGATAAGTCATGATCAGGTCATACTGGAGTAAGGTGAGCCTTTTACCTAATAGGACTGGTTTCCTTATAAAAGACACAGAGACAGAGACTCACAGGGAGTATACCATTTGATAAAAGAGGAAGAGAATGGATTAATGCAGCTACAAGCCGAAGAACACCAATGATTGCTGGCTCCCACCAGAAGCCAGGAATAGGCAGGAAGGATTCTATCCAGAGCCTCAGAAGAAGCAAGGCCCCACTGACATGTTGATTTCTGACTTCCAGACTCCAGAAAACGAGAAAACATATCTGTTGTTTTAAGCTATCCAGTGTGTGGTACTTTGTTATGGCGCCTTCAGAAAACTAATATAACGGCAATTTCATCTTCCTAGCTCCAAGAGTACCATGTGGATATTAGAGTACAGGATTATGTAGGTTGTCAAATTCCTTCCAAAGAATGGTTGGGCTTCCAGCAGTGGCCAAGAATCGCCAGATGCTTATGAGCGCCTGCTGCGAGATGCTTGTACAGTGAATGCTCAATAAAGTGGTGGCCATTATAACCGCAAGCAACGATGCTACATAAATAGTAAGAAACCAAATACAACAAGGGGCAGCGGGAGCAAAGAGAGAAACAAGGGCCACTGAGGAAGGAAGCCTCAATTCGCCGGAGGACATCCGCGGGCAGAGGAGATGTGAATCTGCAAGCCGTTCTCCCAGACCCCGCTGAGCGACTCCCGGCGCTCTCTCCACTCCCTACCGCCCTCGGACCCAGCAACAACCTGATCCCGCGCAAGCCTTCCCCCACTCCACAGCGACTCTCCTCTTGGATAACGTCAACCAGCCAAGCGATCGATTCTGAGCCTGCGCGAAGCTCCTCGGCGCATCCAGTTAGATCCCGCTGGTGCGTGGGGCTGGACTTCCTCTCACGCCCAGGAAACTAGAAGGGCGTTTCCGCCGGAAAGAGAGTGGATTTACTAGAAAGGTGGGACATTGGAGGGGCGGTAGCGTGGAGTTAAGTCCGGTCTCTGGCCACCCAGCGGAGCCGGTGACAGCAGCGTCCTGGTAGGCAGGCAGGCGTATCAGATTTCAGAGGATGCAGCAGGGAAGGGGGGTAGAGGTGAGGGGTCGTTGCATCTGTCGCTGTGTGTATCTTTTGGGGGTTCAGCGCCACCAGCGATCCGGGCCTCGTTCATTGCGCTTACATTTCTCCACCTCATTTGAAGAACGAGCTTGGTATCCGACGGAGCTGAGGTAAGTATAAATGTGGAAAGGAGAAATATGCACTCACCAGACTAGTTTGCAGTTTTCACATACGTGGTGCTATCCTGTGTCCCATAAGGGCCTGCGCGAACCCAAACATTCACAATCGGTGATGCCTGTTGGAGGCAGCAGCACCTGTTGCATTAATTTTAGAACACACACACAGAGCTGGTAATTCTTAAGCTTCCTGAATCCGCTGGCAGTCATTTGGTGTCAGAAGTGAGTAAAGCCATCTTGGTCATCTCCCTCCTTTTAGCTTATACTGAAGCATGGGGAGGGGAGATAGGCCGAAAGTTATACAACTTGTTAATAACAGAGCCGAGAGTGAAAGCGCGATTTCTTCATTTTCAGCCCGGAATTATTTGTTCTACACTATACTGTTTCTTTGCATTGCTAGACAATTGGTCTTTTTTTACGAAGTGGATGGGGAGTTGCAAGGAGGAGTGAAGAGGGTGAATGTACATCTACATACAGTATAAATCCATGAAAGGCAAAATCAGCCTGTGTTAGTTAGAACTGTGTCATCTACATCTTCCATACTTTATAGATGGAGATGAGTCTGTCACGTCGCTTCTGTCATTTCACTTTTAGCAATAGATGTGTAGTAACAATATGTGAAGAAGGAACATTCATTACCTGTTACACACATTTACACAGAGCGGCCTGGGGTTCACTGAACACGCTATGTGCTCATCCTAGAAAACTGATTCTGTAGAGTGCACTGCAGTCAACCCTCAGCTGTTTTAAGTAATCTTACATTTGGTGCTTATGTGGCTTAAGTGTCTTGTGCATTATTGCACTCATCTCTCTCATGTTATTGAAATGGAAATGTGTTGTAGGAAGGTGGCAAGCCTGTGAAGAAAATAAGTGAGCCTGAGGCCCAGAAAACCATACATTAGCAACTATTGAAAAACTGTTCACTTCACATAGGGAGTGTCTGAAGTACTGGGGAACTCATTCAACCCGATGTTCATTGTGGGGAAGCCATGAATAGCCTCCCTCTCCTGGGTTCAAGTGATTTTCCTGCCTCACTCTCCTGAGTAGCTGGGATTACAGGTGTGTGCCACCATGCCCGGCTGATTTTTGTATTTTTAGTAGAGACGGGGTTCCCACCATATTGGCCAGGCTGGTCTCGAACTCCTGACCTCAGGTGATCTTCCCACCTTCGCCTCCCAAAGTGCTGGGATTACAGGTGTGAGCCACCGTGCACGGCTCCTATATAAACAATTTTCAAACTTGTTGGTCTCAGGAGCCACTAAACAGTTATTGAGGACTCCAAAGAGCTTTTGTTCATATGAAAATAGTTTTGACTTCACTAACACCGAGAAGGGTTTTCAGAAACCCCCACAGAGACCAACTTTTAAGATATTTCAAAGAAATTTTAGATTATATAGAGGAATGATTGCTGTTGTGATTGTGACATGAGCAGAAGTATCACCTTAAAAATGCAACAAGAAGCACAGTAGCTTGTATTTCCAGTAGCTGTATAATTCCAGACACAGAGAACATAAACAGATGTCCATTTTTAATTCTTTTGTTGTTTTTTTGAGACAAGACCTCACTGTCATCCAGGCTGGAGTGCAGTGGTGCGATCACAGCTCACTGGCAGCCTTGACCTCCTGAGCTCAAGAGCTCCTCCACCTCAGCCTCCTGAGTAGCTAGGGCCACAGGTGTGTGCTACCACCCTGGCTAATTAAAATATATATATATTTTGTAGAGACAGGGTCTCTGTGTGTTGCTCAGACTGTTCTCAAACTCCTGAGCTCAAGCCGTCCTCCCACCTTGACCTCCTGAAGTGTTGGAATTACAGGCGTCAGCCACTGCGCCTGGCCTGTAATATTTTTCTATGTTTGGAAAGTTTATTATTAATCAGCTAGGATACTTCTCTACAAAAATACACATATATAACTTGAGATTTAAAATTTTCTCAGCCAGATATGGTGGTTCACACCTGTAATCTCATCACTTTGGGAGGACGAGGTGGATGGATCACTTGCGCTCAGGAGTTTGAGACCAGCCTGGGCAATGGGGCAAAACCCCATCTCTACAAAACCGCACCCAGCCATTTTGTATTCTTTTTATCCCATTACTTTTTTTTTTTTTTTTTTTTTAATGGTTTCAGACAGTGGTTCAGACCAGCTGCTAGAGAATCAAGGGCTAAGAATAAAAGACTACCAATTTAGTAGATTTGGACATGGACAAGCCACAGGCAGTTTTTCTTCTCACTCTCTTGGCCAGTTATCTCTTGCTTACCTTCCCCTGCCAGTAGCCAGTAGCATGTGACAGCCTCTATATTCCATCTCCCTTTTCTCCCTCTTCCAGAACTTAGATGAGTTTTCAATGGATAACTGTACAGAAACATACCCACTACTGAGTTTATAATAAATTGGTAAATGGTGTTTAAAATGCCTTACGTAGAAATCCTTGGTAGTTAGTTATGTGTGGTTATTTTTGGGAAGTTGGCTTGAGGTTCTTTGAAGGACTGGGAACATGTGTTTCTTTCTTTTGCATGTACCTATGTGTGTGTGCGTCAAAGTTTTATTTGTTCACCGGTGCTCTACACATTCAGAGAACCATTTCCAATAACGAACTATAGAATGATCCCTTTATTTCTGATTTAAAATAATGGAGCATAGGATCCCACTGTTTGAAAATTCTAGCCATTGATCACTTTATAAGAAAAGGATGAAATTTCAGTAACAAGGGGTTTGTTTATCTGATTTCCACCCTACAGATTAATATATAAATTTGGCCAAAGTTGTTTGGGGGAGAGGGGCTGTTGTTGGGTACTGAGCTATAATACTTTGTTGCTTTGTATCACTTTTAAAATTGACTTTTAAAGATACTTGACATTTGAAAAAGAATCACCTTTGATCTTTCTAAATCCCTAATTTGACATTAACTTTATAGCATATGATGTATTCCATAAAGTCCTAGATCCTGAAACTAGCAGAAAGCCAAATACTCATGTTGTGCTATAAATATAGGATTGACAGTTAAGCTTACTCAGTAGTCAAGGGGGCAGCTTTCACTCACCAGCCTCCAGGGCATATGAATCAAATTTATGATTCAGAACATTTAAAATATACATGTTGAAGATCTTTGGGCTCTCGTAAGGATAGTCTAACTGTAATAAATATTAAATGTGTCAAAGGTCTCTTGCAATGATGGGAAGAGCATTCTAAACCACATACATCTTTCCTATCCCCAGATCATTCTGTGCCCCCTCCCACTCTTCCTAGATTAGAAGTCACCATGGAGCACTGTTAGTAATGGGACTGTGTATCAGATCTTTAAGATGTATTGGGACAGAAGAAAGGTTGATATTTTGGTTTTTTTTGTTTTTTTTTTTAGACGGAGTTTTCACACTTGTTGCCCAGGCTGGAATGCAATGGCGGCCATCTCGGCTCACTACAATCTCCGCCTCCCTGGTTCAAGCGATTCTCCTGCCTCAACTTCCTGAGTAGCTGGGATCACATGTGCCCGCCACCATGCCCAGCTAATTATTGTATTTTTAGTAGAGATGGGATTTCATCATGTTGGCTACACTGGTCTAAACTCCTGACCTCAGGTGATCTGCCCGTCTTGGCCCCCCAAAGTGTTGGGGTTACAGGCATGAGCCACCGTGCCCAGCAGGTTCATATTTTAATGTTTCCTTCTACTCCCCAAGCACACACAAATTTGAAAGCTGCTTTGCTTTCTAATAAAGAGACTTTTCCTTTGATTTGGAAGATAATTTGATGTCTCTTTTCTCTTTGCAGGTATATGAGCTCCCTGAAAGCACGAAGCAGTTATTTCCATCTTCACATCATTCAGAGATTATGAAGGCACAAACCCTGCCTTCAATTTGCTTACAGTCAAGTGGAGCAGACACAAGTCAATGATTGCAGTATAGCTACTTAAGTAATCTAAAAGAGGTGAGTGTGGCACTTAACCTCTCCTGGGACGGGGAGGAATAAGGCAGTGTTTCCAAGAGGCTATACAGGCATTAGGTAGACAAGGAAGGGGAGGTCCATTCTGGGTGCCTAGGACTCTGTGGCTGGTTTATATATTGTAAATGGTACAAAAAACAATGTTGAGTACCTTTTACCTTTCTCCAGAGTACTGGTCTTACTTTTGGATAGTGCTGCTTGTTTTTTCCTTCCCTCTCCCTGGCCCTATCACCTTTAAATTAAATGAATGTTTAATTTAAACATTCATTTAGTAGGAAGGAAGTAGGAGGGTAAGAATCTTTCTGGGTGGCAGAATAATAGATGGGTCTACAAAGAGCAATGTATATACCCAGTAAAGCCATCTCTAAAACTGTGTTTCTGCATTGTTATAGTGCACAGTTGGGAAATCTCAGTTTTGTTGGTTGTGTATTTTCCCAGTGAATGGATTACATTCCTTTCTGCAATCCAGTCTGTTTGAATTTAAGGGCATCTCTTAAATTCCTTTCAAGCAAGAGACCTAACATTTAGACGTAGGAATGAGAGTAGGAGAGATAGCAAGATTAGAATCCAAGTTCATACTACCAAAACATTTTTATTGGCTATGTCTGAGTGACTACATGTTGTTTGAATCAGCTGGAGGCTAATTTGTAACGTTTCAAATAAATGATAGTTTAATTCCTCCAGGATTTGAGTAAGGTGAAAATAGAGCTAAAAACCATGATTCGGTCACATTCTGGCAAAATGAAAAAGCAATCAATTTGGGCCCTTTTTTTTTTTTTTTCCTGGAACTGGTGATAGCAGAAAACAAACAATGAAATAGTCAGACATGATATACTTGACAAGAACCACCACCTGTTCAGTAGCAACTCTAAAATAAGTACTAACTTAGGGGCAGTTGTTGTGCCCAGGTCATAGTCCTACTCCTTCCAGGGGACTTCCGGATGACAGAAAAGATGCTGACCAGCTGGGGTCTTCTTTCCAAATAACAAACACTTCTCTTGCATTTAGATTAATTAACCATTGGTTACAGTGAAACAAGCATATGTACAGAATTTATCTCCTATAGCTTGAAGTTATAAATTATCTTTATTTGAGTATCTTGACATGGTAAAGGACAGTGTTTTAAAAGCTGGATTTGGTTATGTTCTTCTGGAGACTAAGAAAATAGAGTCCTTGAAATCAAGCTGACTCTGCTTTTAGCCTCCTAAATGAAAAGGTAGATAGAACAGGTCTTGTTTGCAAAATAAACTCAAGGCCTACTTATCTACCAACAGCAATTACATGCTTTCCATTGTCTTTCTATAGAAAATAGGAGTAGTACATTTATAGATGAGAAAACTGGAGAAAGACATAGTGAACATGTGAGAATCTTGCTCTACTAATTGATAGGAAGGTGACTAGAAATTGGAGAAGTTGTCTTGGTAAGTTGAGGAGAGGACTTTTCTTATAGTGCAGTATGGTAGCTGAACCTGCTTGCATCAAGACCAATATAGTCTTATTTACAGAATGCCACATCATAGTGAATTGTGCTGTGGACAGCTTCCAGTGTGTGAGTTGTGGAAGATGATGATTTTAACAGATTTTGGAGGATGAGAAGTATTAAGAAAAAGGCCCCACTGCCCATGCATTTGCTCTGCTTTTTACTTTTGACCAAGTATACACTTCAGAAATATCTTAGTGGATGTATGCAAGTGATTGTGTGTCATTTGAACCAGCAGGAAGTAATTTATTAAACACACTTTTCTAAATAAAATTCATTTAATTTTATCAGAAACCAGTGTCATTTTAGTTTGCAAGTCTCAAACCAACTTTCCAATTCTGACTTATAAGGGTGCCTTAAATTCTTAATACTGCATTCTGTGTTACTAAACCCATGTTAGTTTACACCAAGATTCTGTGGTGGTTTTACATATTCATTTTCCCCTTTGTTAAGGTGGGGAGGCCACAGCTTATGTGAATTGACTTTCTCAGGAGTTATAAAGTGATACAGGTAAAGCTAAGAAAAGAACAGATTTTGATATCTTTTGTTTTAACTGTCCAGTGTTAGGGATTGTGGCTACAGTGGTCTAATTTTTAAAAACACTTTTTTTGCTTTGTTTTTTAACAGACTTATCAGCATGTTGCAGGTGAACATGGCCTTGAGGTAAATCCTGTCCCTTGTTGAATACAGTTTCAGTAGATTGTTTATAGTAGTTTAAGGAATTGGAATTTTTTTACAAAAACACAGAAGTTTTGTTTGGTTCTGTTCTAGATGTTTTTCTTCTAAATAAATGAGAAAGATGTTTCAACAAAGGCTCTTTATGCTGAATAATTGTGATGCTTGAAGTTCCTAATCTGCTTTAAGTGGATTTGTCTGACATTTGGTGTAAATGTCAGACAATTCCAGACAGTTTTTTCTTGGTCAAATAAAAATTTAATTAAAACTTTACAGGTGTCGAGTTTTTAATCCATTTATCCGTGTTCATATTAACATGTGTAGTATTCCATAAAGCCTATTAGAACCCTGAATTCAAACTTGCCTTCTCTGTGATATCCTGTTTCTTACTTGGTAGTTTCTATTTCAGTAGCTGAGAACATTTTTTAATGTACATATATGTATCTTTTGTTTGTTTATAACTAGAACCATTTCTGTGCTTACATCTGCTGTCCCTTGTTTCAGAGTAGACAGTCCAGGTTGGCAGGCTAGGTTTTTTTTTTTTTTTTTTTTGAGACGAGTCTCGCTGTGATCTCCCAGGCTGGAGTGCAGTGGCGTGATCTGGCTCACTGCAAACTCCGCCTCCAGGTTACGCCATTCTCCTGCCTCAGCCTCCGAAGTGGCTGGGACTACAGGCGCCCGCCACCGCCAGCTAGGTTTTTGTATTTTTATAGAGACAGGGGTTTCACCGTGTTGGCCAGGATGGTCCCGATCTCCTGACCTCGTGATCCACCCGCCTCCCAAAGTGCTGGGATTACAGGCTTGAGCCACCGCGCCCAGCCTGCTGTCCCTTGTTTCAGAGTAGACAGTCCAGGTTGGCAGGCTAGGTATGTGTGTGTATAATGAGTTATTAAATTGTCAGTGTGAACTGCTGTCCCTTGTTTCAGAGTAGACAGTCCAGGTTGGCAGGCTAGGTATGTGTGTGTATAATGAGTTATTAAATTGTCAGTGTGAACTGTTAATTCAGGAATCTGAGCTGCCATTTATACCAGTAGCCAGAGTTTAGTAGAAGATGAGAGTCTTTCAGTTTGTCAGGCTTTGCATGTGCTGGAAAACATCAGAGGTTTTTTTGTTTGTTTTTGAGACAGAGTTGCGCTCTTGTTGCCAAGGCTGGAGTGCAATGGCACAGTCTCGGCTCACTGCAGCCTCTACCCCCGGGTTCAAGCAATTATCTTGCCCCAGCCTCCTGTGTAGCTGGGATTACAGGCACCCACCACCAGGCCTGGCTAATTTTTTGTATTTTTAGTAGAGACAGGGTTTCACCAGAAAACATCAAAGTGGACTTTTTTTAAAACACAAAACCTTAAATGATGAGATTAGGGCATATCTGGGTTTAGAGGCATCCGTGGGACGTGATACTGAATTGTAATTGCTTCACAAATGGAATTATTCTGCAGCTTCACTCACAAGCTTTGAAAATGCTATGTGTGCAGAGCTTAAGTGGCAACTGGAAACTTGAACAGGAGAACCAGGAATGTAGCTGATGGAGTTGGGCATTGAGCTCACAGAATGGCCTGGGGGCAGTGAGGCAGGATGCCTGAAAGCTGCCTGGGTAGAGATCAGTCTTCCTTCCCATCCTCAGCTTTGCCCTCTGGTGGGCTGTTAATTTCTTTTAAAAAATTGTTGTTCATTTGCTAATATGCCACAGATGCCCTTCTGTTCTTTCACGCTGCCTCCATTCTAGGTTTTTTCCCATTTCTTGGCCGTAGGTCATTTGCTGTAGTTTTGAAAGAGCCCTGCCATCCTTCACATGGAGAGCAGTGAGAGGCCAAAGAGCAGTGGCTGAAGAAGATACTCATTTATTCAACAAATACTTGGTGACAGCTGTTATATGTTAGCCCTTGGGGATCTAGCAATTAACAAAACAGGCACTGTCCCTGCCTTCGTGGAATTGGGCATTATAGAGGTAATTTCAAAATTAGAGAGTGGTGCATACTGTGTAGGAGTGGAACAGGGGGTTATAAAGAGTACATAGTGGAAGGGACCTCACCACAGTGCTGCTCACTATTGGGAAAATGAGGGTAGAAGACGTTGAGAAGGGCACACAGCTTCCCTGGTTTTCTACAGACAGCCTCTCGCCTTCTCAAGTATATTCTTGGCTGACTCATGAAATACATGAGTGTACTGGGGCTGCTGGAGCCATTAAGACTACCCTTCTCGTCTTCCAAGCTCTCTAGGTTTTGGAAACTCATATTTTGCATATACACAACTACAGTTTGACAACTTTAAAGACTTTTGAGTTCATTTAGTCTGAGCCTTTATTTTACAGCTGGGCCTGGTAATGACTATCTTAGCAGCACACAGGACTAGAATCCAGGTTGGGTGAAATGAGCGCCAGCACACCATTCTGCCAGATAATAACATGAGCCATAAATTGTGCTGGGCACATGGTGCTTAAATGCCATGTTCAGCCAGCTAAGGCGTGATTGGCTGCAAGAGGGGTAGGCATGGAAGACAGGAAACTGGACATCAGAATGTTCTAATAGAAAGTGACATGTTTTGGCATTGAAATGCCATTATGTACCTTTAGACACCCAGGGGTTTCCAAAGAAAAACAGGGATGCACAAATTCGTGAAGCTGACAACTAAATGTGTATAGATGCTGAGAAAGGTCCACATTGAAAAATGACAACTTGGAATTTTCATAGTCTAATAGAATGCCAATCTTCTTTGGAGGAACTGTTATTCTTATATCTGGAGTTGTTCTGTTGTGCAGAAATTCATACCTATGCCTGAAAATTAAATTTGACATAATAAAGTTTCAGTAATTCTATAGACTTACTATTTATAGAACATTTCATATTAATTTTATTGATAGTCCTATGATTTTGCTACTTTCTAGTATTAAATGACTACCAAAGTGACAAGCCATTTCTAAAACTATATTCTCTAAATTATCTCTTTTCTAAAATTTGTCCTAAGAAACATTTTCTTTTTTTTTTTTTAGACAGAGTCTCACTCTGTCACCCAGGCTGGAGTGCAGTAGTGCTGTCTCGGCTCACTGCAACCTCCACCTCCCGGGTTCAAGCGATTCTTCTGCCTTAGCCTCCTGAGTAACTGGTATTACAGGCATGTACCACCAAGCCCAGCTAATTTTTGTATTTTTAGTAGAGATCAGGGTTTCACTGTGTTGCCCAGGCTGGTCTTGAACTTCTGAGCTCAGGCAGTTGCTCACCTTGGCCTCCCAAAGTGCTGGGATTACAGGTATGAGCCTCTGCTCCTGGCCGAAACATTTTTCAAACATCATTTTTTCTCTAGTAACCTCTTAATCTAAGAAATTTACCTATAGCATCCTGAACTCTCTTGCATCTAAACTAGCACAGGAATAGAACATGTTTTTAAAATTTGGATTAGACATTTGAAACAGGGAACCTTGTGATTTTCCATGTGGTAAAATGGGCCTCTTGGCATAAGCTCTTCTCTGCACAGTTACTCCAATTCTTAAACTTTCAAATTGAGTGGGGAGCCAGTGGGCCTGTTACCAACCAATATTATATCACTATCCGTGCTCTGCATCCTGTGTACTTTGAAAAATGGCAGAAACCAAAACCTGTCACAGGAATTTCCTAACCCTGCTACCTACAGATACTTGAAAAGCTTTTTGTGTCAACAGGCTAGTCTAGGCTGCTGGGATGAACACTTGGAATACAATCTAAACATGTCAGAGGAAGCCAGCCTGTCTCTAGCCCATTTCACCTTATTTTAACTAAGCAGCTGCCAGAAGCTATATGAGTCCTTTCCTGTACTTTCTCTCCCACCACCAATGGAGTCTAATACTATGAGCCAAAAATGCAAATCTGCTAGGAGACCTTATCCTAGGATGCCTTACCTTCATTCTCCATTTGTAACGTGTGCGCGTGCGTGCACACACACACACACACACACCCCTACACACCCCTACATCTGTAAGAAACTGGCTTGGCTCTAGCATTTGGCCTGTAGCTTTTGCCCTTCCTTTGTCTTCCATCCCTCTTCTATTCTCTCTTCTTACTCCCCTTATTCCTCCCCCTACACGGACTTCTAAGCTTTCTTTATGCTCCCTTAGTTTTACTCTGCCCCTTGTTCTTGCCTTTCTAAAGAAGAGACTTTGATCTTTAGCCTTACTTCAGGCAGAATCCCCAAATCAAATATCTGCCTCAGTGTATAGTAATTCTTGCATTCCCCAAACTGGGTGTGAAGTTTAGTAGATTTCATTAGTGTCCTCATCTATTATCAGGGGGAAGTTGGTCTTCCCACTTATGCTTGGGCATGACACATAATGTGTAAATAACCATGATAGAGGACCATGGGCAGAGAACATTGGATGAACATTAATAGGATTCATCAAACCAAGGAGGGTCAGAGGCCCCATTTTACAAGGTGTGATGGGAAAGCAGTGTGGGGTCTTGTTTTTCAGTTTTTGAGGTGAAGGAAGGTTGTTCTAAGGCTGAAAGTTTATTCATTGACCTGGGCTGCATGAGACTTTTTTCCTACTATATGGAACTACTCCATGTGTAAAGACAGAGTGCCCAGCAGCAGGAGCAAACCAGAATTAGCCATAACTACTAAGCCTCTTGCCCACATTCACTTAAAAAGATGGAACTGGGGCTTCAAAGCAAACTGTATTGACTTAATACTAAAGGTAAACAGAAATGAAAAAATCAATCACTTAAGTGGTTAGGAATGAACTCTTTGGAGCCAGCTGCTTGAGTTTGAATCCAAGTTCCAAATCCATGTCGTTTGGATTATCTAATTGCTGTGAAGTGTGGTCTTTTTATTTTTATTCTTTTATTTTTGTTTTTGTTTTTGTTTTTGTTTTTGTTTTAGAGAAGGGGTCTTGCTATATTGCCCAAGCTGGCCTTGAAGTCCAGGGCTCAAACGATCCTCCCACCTCACTCTCCTGAGTAACTGGGACTACAGGTGCATGCCACTGTACCCAGCATTCTGATTTTTAAAATGAGATAACACAATTGTGAGAAGTAAATGAGATAATGCATATAAGAGTACTTGGCACATAATTCTCCATAAATTTTAGCTATTTTTAGCTCAGAGAAAAGCTGCTCTTTCTCCTCTTACTTGGACTTTAGGGAAAGTGACTGGCAGCAACTCCTGAAATGTCTTAGAATATTTGTAAAACATAACGTGTGTCTTAATTATTGCTAGTAAAAAGGTCTTGCTGTAATCTTTCAAAAACAAATTTTAATTGTGAGTATCCAGATTTTACTTTACCTTGATGATGCAAATGTGTGCCTCAT